AATATGCGTTTTTGCTGCCTGTTGCAGCGCTCTAGCGCTGCACGGCAAAAACGCATAAAAAAGTAATTTTTATTTCACCCATTCGAAGCTTCTCGATTAATTTTGCGGTCATGATAACAGCTTTATCTACCACTCTGAGAAATCAGTATCAATAAAAGCTCTAAATGGTTTTCTGCCCCATCCTACCAGGGTTAAACGTGCATGTTATCCACAAGAGGCAAAAACCACCTCAAAAAATATCTAGCAATGTTACACCCCAACGGCACATCAATGACTTCAATTCATATTTAGCATAATATCTGGCAAACTTAAATCTGGCAGTGGATAATTTATTAATTTAAAAGCGCCGATTGCCCTCCACATTCATCGTGATTTAAGTAAAATTTGCAGACCAATTTCTGAATGTGCATTTTGAAGGATTGTCTGCCTAGGGAAATACATTAGGCGCTTAACTATCACAAAAGTGGACAGCACATTCCGTTTTCGATGACTTTATGAGACTACCTGTGGGAGGTGACCATATTGTGGCACCAGCTGGAAAAGAGCTGCTACGCCGAAGCTGCGGCTCGATGCCAAAGTACGATTTCCACAATGCAAACACTAGTTCGGTCCCAAAAATAACGCCAGAATGGAGTGTTATCATCCGGATGACAAACATACCGTCATTTTTCAAGTATGTACTTATAAAGCGCTCCACATCTTCCTTGCTCTCTAAAAACTGCTTACATTGCATTTTGTGACAAGAAAATTATATCTGATGAGCAAATAAAGCGTAAGCCCGCGACACGAAGCAGTAAAAAGAAAAAACAGACGTGAAACTATATTCATCGACAGCTACGACCAAATTCAAAAGGGCCTGTGCAATATGAAAAGCCTAAGCAAAGCGAACATGTAGCAGTAGTCAGCCACAAACAGACCTTGCGGATCGAACGGCATTTCACTCATTTCCAAATGACGGATGATAAACTGTCGATTGGGATACGGGATAATACATACGCCAATCCAATACAGCAAACTACCGGCCGTGAAAACTATTAAAGCCAAATACCTGTGGAGCAAAAATAAAAAAGAATTAGTCAACACTGTTAACATGAAGGAAGAATTTATCTTTGTATTGGGATTTTGCTTTCCTGTATTTGGATAACGAAAATTCAGGACCAAAAACCGTTATTTTACCAGAAAATAAGCATGAGAGGTGGAAAAGCGGTTAAAGCACAGATTAGTTGAAAACGGTTTCAATGGAAAAAATAATTTTTAATAACTTACCAAAACCACAAAAATATGAATATTTTTTCATTGAAAATATTTATGACAAGGACACACTGTATCGTATGTTGCTGAATATTGCCCATCACCCGTACCTGGAAATTAGTAATTACGAAAAGCGTTCTTCGTTTTCAAAGAACATGAATACAAAAAAAAAA